GCTGTTTTTCATCAGACTGCAGCTTTTTAAGCTTTTCCATTAAAACCAGAGCAGCTTCATGGTGACGGATCCTTTAAAAGCTTCCAGTAAGTCCAACCCAGAGAGCAAACAACTCTCACAAAGCAAAGAAATTCATCTAAACCGGAATAAATCACTGCTGGATCCTTTTAAAATATAGGAATATTTATTTGTACTACAGGTTATTTATCATTGGTCCTGATCACATTTATAGTATTTTTTTAAGAATATTTTTTCTGCTTTTTATTGCTATTTTTCTTAAATAAAGCAAAATACTTAAGGTAAAATACTTTGATAAAAGATACAGGGAAATATTTTTTCCATTAACGTTGTTTTTAAATGGAAAAACTTTTATCCTTCTTTTCCTTGAATTTCCCTGCAGACTGTTTCGTAATCTTTTTAATTTTTCTGGACAAACAAACAGAAAAGATTTGACTTCTCTGAGGTAGAAAATTTCATTTGTGATTTTTTTATTTCTTATATTCTATTTTTAGTCATTAAATATGCTTTTGAAGCTACATCAAAAATCTTTTTATAAAATTAAACCGCAAAAAACTGTTAGGAGAACAAAAAGAAACAGGTTTTTCCTGAACTCGTCAGTGGTTAAGTTGCATGAAAACAAACAATATTATTGAGAAAGCGCGGCGGTTAGATTTAATCTCTCTAACGCTTCTTTACAACAAACAAACACTTTTGATTAGAAAAACAATAATGAGACATTAAAAGTCTGAAAAGCACATTTGAATTGATCTGGAAACTTAACCTGATTTTAAAGCAAGTATTTGAGAATCCTCTTAATGTAATTATTTCTAAACATGAGCAGGATCCAGTTAAGAGGATTTCTGAGCCACAGAAAAATCTTAGAGGGAGTTTTTCCAAATACTCAATCTAAGGATCATAAAATAATCCACCATATCCACCAGTCTGTTGTCCTCTCTAAAGGGAACAAAAGTTAAAAATAACAAAAGTCATTTGCATATGCAAACTCTGAGCTCTGCTTCCTGTAACATCAGCAGGAAAAGGCTGAATCCATCATTGTATTCAGCATTTTATTCAACGTTTTACAGTAAAATCCATTTGATTATTCTGGGTTTTCAGGATAAACGTGTGTTGGGTCTAAATACGACTCCTAGTTCCTCACTATCAAGAGTTTTAGTTATTATTCAATAGACCCAGGAAGAGGCATCAGAATAAAAAGGCTTGACACAGAGGATAAGTTTTTCTCAACTGCAGAAGAGGGAGAGACTGTGTGGCCAGAGAATGCCACACATCGAATCTCACCCACATTTCTCTAGCCGTTGATTTTTATTAGACTGATAGTTGCTAAGCAGTGTACATATTATGGGATAGGAAAGTATTGGACGTCATGCCCTTATCAGGTTTTTCCCGGTAGTTGGCCTGTTGACGTCCAGACCTTGGAAGATACAGATGGTAGACAGATGGGAGACAAAACACACATCTCCTAGAAGCTTGCTCAGGGATTTCAGCTTCATACTAATGTAAATACGAAAAATAGCTTCTACAACGTGTCACGTTTAACTTCATAGAAGTCGGCGTCCAAAATGTTGGCCAAAATAAAACAATTTCTCATGTCTCTGGAACCCCAAAATTAGAAGTAAGTGACAGTTTGTGGTCTCAGCTGACAGGAAGCTAAACGCTTCCTTTCACTTATTGAAAATAGGACTTCTGGACTATTTATTTGCTGCAGGAGAAAAGAAAAGAGCCATTTTAAAGAGAGCAGAGTGCTATTTTGCTGGGTTTTTTTTGTCCTGTCTCCATGTGGTCTGGTCATTTCCTGTTTTATTTTGAAAGGTACATCCCCTTGTTTCAGGTCTCTAACCCCCCTGTGTGTCACCTTTCCAATCGTCTTCCTGATCCATGATTGGTTCCCCTGGGGTTTCCCTCATGTGTTTAATAGTCTGGTTTCTCCTTGTCTGGTGCCAGTGGGTTTAATCCTACTGAGCTGAACAAAACCATAGTAAATCTTTGCCTTGAACCTTGTTTTTCCTCATAAGACTGATTCTGATTTTGTTCCTTCTCTTTTTGTTCTGACTCCCTGTGAGTATTATTTTGTTGCATTGTTTATGAGCCTTTGCTAGCCTCGTTTTTTAAGTGATCCTGATTTGTTAATTTTCTAAACCCTCCTGGTTGAGTGACCTTTATTTTGTACTTTGCTTCCACTCCTTGCGAGTTTAATAAAACCTTTTTTTTACAAGATCTCCACACCTGAGTCCTGTCTGAGACTGACTATAACAGAAGATTTTACACAATTATTTTATTTGTATTTGTTTTCTATATTAAACGGATCAGGAGATCGTTTGTCAGGCTATTGTGTTTTTTTGTTTAGTTTTTGTTTAGTATTGTTTTGTTGCTTTGTTTATGAGCCTTTGCTAGCCTCATTTTTTGAGTGATCCTGATTTGTTACTTTTCTAACCGTCCTGGTTGAGTGGCTTTTATTTTGTACTTTTCTTCCACTCCTTGCGAGTGCATTTTTTAGTTTAACTCATTGACTGCCAAAGACGTCTATAGACGTCAATTCAAATACAACTGTTGACTGCCAAAGACGTCTATAGACGTCAATTCAAATACAACTGTTGACTGCCAAAGACATTTATAGACGTCTTTTATGTTTTTCAACACGATTGGCTTGGGGGACAATCTGCTAAAGCTTGTCCGTAAATATCGGCTTTTAGACAGAGTATGTAGTAACAAATTGACCCTCTAGGGGGCAGTGCCACTTTTGATGGGAGATGAGCATAGACTGTAGGCAAATAAGAAAAAGGTAACGGTTCGCTATGAGAGAACATGTCGCCGGTGAGACGCAAGTCGAGGAAGAACGGAATAAGCTAGAAACAAAAAAATGTTCCTGATGAAAGAAGAGAGTCTACTCTTTCTTTTGGTGTATTCGGTGTTTACATAGTCATAGCACAAACTATTCTGTGGCTCTTGAAAAATCAGTCAAAATGCTCCTAAAAACTCTGGCAGTATGGGACTCTGTTCTGAAAATGGCTGGCAGTCAACGAGTTAATAAAACCTTTTTGCGCCTGTCGTTCCTCAGAGTCGGAGCTGTCCTGTGTTTTCACGGAGAGCTGCGTGTTGCCCTGTGGCTTCCCCCCCGGAGACGACGCCGTCATCCACTGGATCCAGTTCAGAACCGATGGGGAGACTCAGGTCCATTCTTACTACCAGAACCGGGACCAGCTGGGGAACCAGGACCCGGCCTTCAGGGGCCGGACCTCCCTGTTCGGGGGGCAGATCCCCGGGGGAAACGCCTCCCTGCTGCTGGGGGGGGTCCGGGTCCAGGACGGGGGCCGGTACCACTGCTTCATCAGCACCGTCGCAGGAAGCTACGAGGACTGCGTCGTCCTGAGAGTGGAAGGTAGGAGTTAGTTAGTTAGTTAGTTAGTTAGTTAGTTAGTTAGTTAGTTAGTTAGTTAGTTAGTTAGTTAGTTAGTTAGTTAGTTAGTTAGTT